TTTTTGGTCATGCAAAGAGAAATTCTTCCGTACGTGGTCAAAGCTCATCAACAGGGAGGTTATCGACAAAACATCTGGCAAAAAACTCTTTTGAAAGTTGGGAAATCAACAAAGGTATGTTCCAACCACTTTCAATACGGAAAGCCAACAGATTCCTGTCCGCACCCCACATTATTTTTGAAGGGGTATGATGGGCCTAGTCAACCAAAAAGAAGGCGACTGGATCGTTCAGATCTTTTCAAGCCGACACACAGTGAAGCAACACCTGTTAACATCAGTGAAACTGTAGAAATTGATAATTTTCACGTGTCAGAAGTCATTGCTGAAGAAAATGCTGATAACCATCCTGTTCATGAATCTGTTGATATCCCTCAAAGTGGCTTGGACACTTCCAAAGAACGTCGTGCACATCGATTGTCTTGGGATTCTATTTCTGGTAACAACCCCATCATAAAATTATATACAGGTTGCCCCACTGCCAAAGTTTTTTTGTTCATTGTGGATCGTGTCAGATCAAAGCATGGCAAGATCTCTTATTTTAAAGGCAAGAATTCATTCCAGGTTAAGAACTACCAGCACAGCCCATCAAAGCCTTTGTCAAGAAAAAAGACTGGACCATCCCGCCAACTCAAACTGGAAGATGAAATTCTTTTAACCCTGATGCGCATTCGTCTGGACCCTCCAATTGAAGACCTTGCTTTTCGATTTAAAATTTCTGCTAGCCATGCATCAAAAATATGTACAACCTTTTTTGTGTTGTTGGCACGAGAGCTGGAGCTACTCATTTATTGGCCAACACCAGAAGAAACTCTAGCATTCAAGCACCCCCACTTTTCTGGGGACTTTAACAAGGTTGAAGGCATTGGTGATTGCACTGAACAAGTTATTCAAAAGCCTGCAAATTCCAAGGCTCAGTACCAAACATACAGCACATATAAGAGCAGAAATACCCAAAAGAAATTAATATTCTGTACAAAAGGAGGATCAATTAGTTTTGTGTCAAGGTCCTATTCTGGCTCTGCTTCAGATCGTTTTATCACAGAAGACTCCAATGTTGTGCAGAAATTTCATCCTGGGTTTATTGCTATGTTTGACAAGGGTTTCACAGTTCAGGATATATTTCTTCCCAGGCAAGTTAAAGTTAAAGTGCCACCCTTCGTTCGAAGCAAAAGACAGTTTACACCCTCAGAAATATCTGAATGTAAACAAATTGCAAGAGCAAGAATTCACATTGAGCGTGTTATGGGAAGACTGAAGGAATTTAGACTACTGGATCATACTTTACCTCTAACCTTGTTAGATATAATTGATGAGGTCTGGTTAATTGCAGCTGCTATTACCAATTTGCAGCCACCACTTGTAAAAGGACAGCCTCGTGACTAGCCTCAAGTTTAAAGTAGTTCTTAATTGCTTGTTTTGAAGTTATTTCTATGCAGGGTTTTACTGTAACTGTTAAATTTATCCGAAGCTGTGACCAGGCATGAATATGAACAAACATGAATATATAACGTTAATAGAACAAAATCAGGCCTAATACAACGGCTAACATATTCGAGAGTAAAACAGCGTGGTAAGCGAGTTATCTAAGAGTCCATTGTCCAATAAGCTTCAACATAACGTAACACGTGACTACAGCAAGCATAAGATAATAATAATCATATATTCTAATAGTAACGAGTCTCCTATCTCCAATAAAACTGAAAAGAACTACAACTGAAAGCATATGTTTAGTTATATTAGTAATAATCTTGAGTCTAACTTTTGAAGTTCCTTTTGTGCTTCTTCACTATCCAGTCTATCTTCAACCTTTCGCAAAAGTCCTTTCATTACATTTCTGCATGCAACAACATTTTCTATTGTCCCTGAAAATAGCTCAGGTAGCACAATGCTTTTAAAAAAATGGACAAGTTTTGGAACCTGTTTTATTTCATACTGTGGATTTCTTGGAATTCTTACAGTCAATGACTCTTTGTGCAAAAAAACTTCAAAATCACAATATTCTGCACCAGTGACAAACATCTGATGTTGAACTTGTGTGTAGTATTTATGTGCAGGCTTCAAAAATATTTCATCAGCATTCTTTGACAAGCATGACTCTGGCTGCATGAGATAGTCTGCAATATTTAAATCACGGCTCTTCCATGGGCATTTTATTTCTAAAACACCGAATCCACAGCATTTGCAGCTTATAACTCCATCAGGGCTGGCTCCCAGAAAAGGCAACTGTTCAGAAATGAACAAACCAGTAGTTTTACTTCAAAAGTGTTTGTGCTTTGTTCTGTTCTTTCTGGTGTACCTTTTGAAGGCAAACTTTTCATTATTCTTCCCCCAGTTTAATGATGCACTATGAACAGAAGGATTATACATGCAAATTTTTGCACATAGATTTTGGGATGATGATAAATTTAAAATTTGATGGTTGTCATCAACTTTTACCAAAACTTCATGTGCAGAAGATGCTGTTATTACACCATGACGATACTGGAACCATTTTTCTGAGGATGCTTGATCAGCAGTTATTGCATTTATTCTTTTCAATTCAGCAGCAGACCGGTGTAATTTCAATGCTGCATGAAAACTATCAGCTTGACACTTAGAAGCAATCTCAGGCAATGTAGAAGGGGGCAGAACAGTTTGGGAAGAGGATTTTGAGGAACTCTTCGTTGTTGTTTTAACAAATTGGAGAACACTTGCTTTTCCATCAGTAGCCTCTGCAACAGCTTCCCAGTCAGCTTTGGTAAAGGCAACATTTAAATCTTGGATGGAACGGGGCTCATATTCACTTCTTGATGGGGTTTGAATGCAGTCATCATTTTCTGGATGATGATGCAAAATTTTAACAGAAGACATTTGACTAGGCTCGTGGATTTTTTCATTCTTCTTGTATGTTCTTACACTCCATTGCTGTTTCTTGCCAGTACAAGACCTGTTGTTGCCAAGTCTAACTTCTGCAAGGATGTAATATAGCAAAGCAAATACATGCTTGCATGAGTTACTGTAACCAGCCACGCATCCACATTCAATAGCCAAAATGGAAGAGGCATCTGTCCGTAGACTAACCCAAACAGTATAAGGAGCATCAGATATACGTGTCTGAGGCACAACCAATGCTTTTATAAAGCAATATTTAATACAATCTGTAATTCTATTAAAAAACACTGACTTTACATGTCCAGATGTCTGAAGGTTCTGTCCTTCCTTGGAGGCTTTCAAGGATTCCATTGCTTCTGCATATTTTTTATAAAATCAAATGTAAGGTCAGGATAGTATTCACTTCCTTCGAGCCAGTGGGAGCCAATTGTCTCAGGAAAGGGTAACTGCACGCCATCAACGAATAAAATTTTGCTCTGGTTGAGGTCAATTTCAGATTTTCGAACAGCTTGAGAAGGCAATGTTGGAAGTTCGAGCTTTTCAGCAAAAATAACTTTTTCAATAAGCTGTGGTTTTCTGCAGTTCTTAGTGTTCAAGGGCACACCTCTGTCTGACAGATACTTCTTAAGATCTTCTACCTTCCAAACTCGCAATTCTTCTTCAGTAAAAACCATTTTTAGAGGGGTATAATCGAAGAAACCGGTCACAGGACGGCAGTAAACACGCTATTTTCGTAGTAGTCAAAAAACTAAGGTTTGTTTGCCCCCTAGACATCCCAGATTGCATTGCGAAAAAAGATGGCGGCAACAACAGGAAAGAGGTCTATTGAAAATCAGAGCATGCTGAATCAGGGATTTCATTAGAAGCCGACAACTGGTGACAGTCTGCCTCTTACTCACGAAAACTTTGCTGCCTATTTTCACCATCACTTGGGTAAGAATTTACTAGTTTAGTAAACTTGGGGATTCCTACTTTCAAATGGGAGCTTTCTACTTCAAAAATTTAAGAAAACCCTGCCGAATTACGGATCAAATTTTTGAAAATTCATTAGAAAATATTTCATTTTTCTAGTAAGTGTATTAACGATATAGACAAAGCACTCTAACAACTTACCCTTAGGGGTATTCATAGGTGGCGGAGGTGGTGGTGCTGGCATATTCTCCATAGGTGGTGGTGGTGGTGGTGGTGGTGGTGGTGGGGGTACATTTCCTGGAGGAGGAGGAGGGGGTGGCTGAGAGGAAAAGTCGCCTGGGGGAGGTGGGGGTGGTGGCATGACTGAGTCACTTGACGAAGGTGCTTCTGGTGCAGCAACATCAACACTTGGCAGCTCAGGTATGTTCATCGCAGGTATGAGTGATGGAGCTATTGATGGTCCCAAATCAGCACTGAAAGATGAGATAACAAAGAAATCAGGGAAACATAAAGAATACTTTGAAATAGGCTTCCTACATCAGTGGCGGCATTTAGCGGTACTAGTGGTACCAGTCTAGTACAGGGGCGGACTGGCTAATTATTTTGGCCCGGGCAAATTTTGATCAAACCGGCCCACAATAATAGCAAATAAAAAACTCCTCGGAAAATACAAGTAAATGTTAGTCTGTAAGGAAAACAAGTTTTTAAATTCAGTAATTTAGTGCATGGATGAATGCTGGTTAACAGAATATGGTTAACAGAACATGTTAAATATGTCATATGCTGACTAAGCAGTAAATAAACAAAAATTGTAACTCCTTGGATTGACTCTGATTCTAAATACAGGAACTTATATGTTGATAATGCGATCGTTCTGGATGTCATCTAACTGGTATTTTTCTAAGAACATTAACATGAAGGACTCCAGGTTTGGCTGCGAAAAATTACTACGTAACCTGTTCTTTATATATTTAAAGTGGAAGGCTTCTATCACACTCCACTTGTAACAAATAACTTAATAATCCTCCGGAAAACCACAATGATTTTCAGCAACCCAAAAATATCAATTTGTCAATTTCTGACCCCAATAAGAAAACATGTGCACCCCTGTTGAAATGTTATCGTGTAACACCATACCATACTGTTGGGCAGGGGGTGCATTTGACTTATGATAGTATAGGCCTAATAAACTTTCCATTACTTGTTTGAGTTTATTGAAAGGAGCAAGAGCAAGACCCTGTTGTTTTTTGTGATGTTTGTGGCTTTTGCGTAATAAAAAAGCTTTGTATCGTAGCTGAATCCTTTTTTAAGTCTCGCAGCTTTTCCTCGCGGCGAAATTTCTGTGCACCACCTTTGATTGAAGTCTTCTTGCTCTTCCTTGTTCTACGTATGTCCTCTTCATTGCTTCAAATCACAGAGCAAATCGCTTAGTGGACTCTAATAACTTTTAAATTTATTACATTAAGCAATAGCTTGTGCTTAGGCAAAAACATGACCAGCTTCAAGCAAAAGCTAAGTAAGAAGACATCAAGGCAGGTTAAAATCTTATGTATCGCCTTGAAACAGGGGTGTTACAGTATAGTATGTCGCCAATAAGGAAATACCGTCAAGAGAAAATATAACAATAACATGTTTCCTGAAGAAGTGTGTCTGGGCTGCGGTGACAATAATGAATTCGTAATTTTAATGGTTCTCGAGTGCTTGGATGTATATTTATTCTTTCCAACAATTCAACATTCAAGTGTCTCTGAAAATTCAAGGCAAACAGATCAACGCGTGGGTATACTTTTTAAGCTAATTTTTTTTTTTGCACTTTTATCAGCCGGCCCTCAAACCGACCGGCCCTTCGGGCGATCGCCCGAATAGCCCGACCAGCCAGTCCGCCCCTGGTCTAGTACGATTTTATTTTCATGCCAGCCGCTACTGTCCTACATCTTTAGTGAGCTACACGACTGTGGGAGAATGAAAAATGCACATTTTGCACAGGGAGCTACAGATTTGATTATTTTTGGCATGAGGGCAGTCCTGGTGATATTAGGCGTGCGATCACATGCGAACGCCTCTACACAGGCAAAAAACTGCCAAGGCCTGCTTTTTTATCGCATGCACAGTTCCATGTTTTTGAATTACTATTCTTCTTCTCTTTTGTTTCTTTCAATTTCTTGTTTATTTTCTTTAAAGTAATTTTTAATTTCTTTTTTGCGCGTTATCTTGATGGCATTTCCGGGGGCCTCATAACTCTTTAAGACTCGGTTTCCATTACTCCGTATATGTCTCCGTTTTTCTCATTCCATTTTCGTATTTTCTGGAACACATTACCCCAAGCCATTCTGTTTTGGTCAAACCGATAACATGGGTGTTTCCATTACTCGTTTTTTATATGTTCTATTATCCGTTGATTGAGCCCTTTTCGATGAGATTGAATGACTCTATTTTCGAAAGCTGTTCCCAATAAAACGATGCTTTTTTCAAACGATTCCATTTTTGAATGACTCCACTTTGTACACATTTTGAATGACTCCGGTTTGGTATTGAATGACTCCGTTTTTGAGCATATTAATGGAACTCAAAAATCTATTCACACGAAAACGGAGTGATGGCAACTGGATCTAAAAACTTGTATGCTTTTTACTTAATTATTTTATTTTCAAGAAACTTCTTCCAAATTCCGTAAAAATTATTTGGTTGTATGAAACAGTGATACTCCCTAACAGTGAGTATCACAACCCTTCAAATACATACATGGCATTTAAAATGCTATCAGGTCTTCATAAAAATCGTAAGGTCTCCATTTTATGGATCACACGTCATTACAGGCCTAAACTTTTCAAGTTGTGCTATTACCAGCATGCCAACAAAATTTCGCATTACCAGGACTGCATGAGGGTGTTAATATTTTAAAATACGCAAATACTTTGCCAAATTAAAAGTATGCAAAAAGCGTAGTTTTCAAATGGAATAGAACTGGATACACAACACCCATTACCAAAGTATAAGTTCGGTGAACTTCAGTTATAAAGTATAAGTCCACTTTATATGGATTAATGGTATGGTTAAACCAAGCATGTGCCATGCCTGGTAAACATGACCTAAGTTATAAACCAGGATTTAGCTGAAAGTGGCTTAAGAAAAAGCTTGCAAGCTGCTAAAAAAATTTCAGCTAAGGTTATTAAAATTCAATTAAATTGAATTTTAGATTATTAAAACACAAGAAACCAAACTCAACTATATAGAACTTGTGTAATTTGAGAGAAAAAGATTTTATAGTCCCCAAGGCATTCTTTCATGCCTGTACTATAAGAGGTAATGTATATATATATATATTCAATTAAATGTTGCTTCAATAGAGTTATCAAGTGATGAATGTATTTTGTAGATATCTTTTAAAATATAGCTGTAAGAAAAAACAATTTTTT